ATTAACTAGTAAGAATTATGGACAATAAAATAAAATCAACTGCAACAAATAAGTGATTAATTAATGAGAAAGCTTCTAGTTCACGGTTCCGTCTACACTCCCGATCGACTCGTCTAATAAACTTTGGTATCAAATCTTGCTATCTTATGAAATTACTAGCCCTAAGTAACGACACGGTCTGCTACCCGAATTTTTTCTTACTTTTAATTTAACCGCGAGACGTTCTACGATTAAACCTGACTTCTTGTACAGTCCAGAAAAACATTTTCAAGATTTAACACAATTAGCCGCTTTACGAATTAGAAACATAGAGTAGACTAAGTAGTGAACTCAACCGCATTCGTTCACTTAAATAGGCCGTATTATCCCCGGTAGTTACCATCTTCCGGATGCCTCTCATGAATTAAACACAACAACAATTACGGATTGAAGGTCTAACTCTAACTATAGATATGAAAAGTCTAATCTAGGTGATCAATCTAAATAAGACTCAAACACATCATGGTTGCTCAGTCAAAATAACACGCACAATTCTAAAAATATAACTCAATAATCAACCACGTAAATTAATAAAAACTTGGTCAAGTCATATGGTTCGACATTCCCGGAACTAGAAATAAAAACTAGCCTAACATAATAAATAAAAAATAAATAATAAATAAAAAAGAGAGATTAATTATCTCCTTCGTGTACGGGTACGGCCTCCCTCCGCAATTGATTGGGTTCCTCGTATCTGTCCGCGTCTCTTCCTTGCGTATGTGTCCTTGGTGGCTGCGTAAATAATTCTTCCTGGGCATGTGTGGTCTCCAAATCTAGTTGCTGCTCCAAATAATTCTATGACATTGGACTCATTGGCCCCAAAGTCTCTCCTACCTTCCATGCCCACGTGAGTAACACCAACATCATGTAATGACCTATTATCTTTAGAGAAATTTACACGCTTTACATTCCATAGACTAAATAATATCAAATATACGACCTCACAACCTTTTCATCATAAGTACGTTATTTAATAATTAAAAAGAGAATTAGTGCGGTTAAGTTTGGCCTAATTAACTGTTAAATGCAGTTAATTACATATTTAATTCCGATATTGTTGGCAATTTAAAAAATAAGCAAATCATCAATTCTCTCTCAATATCTCAGTTTTAGTGTGGAGAATTCATCTCTCCCCATAAACAAAGTCTATTCTCGCGTGAGTTTTTTTTTCTCTCTCTCTCAGGCAAACCAGGTTAGAGCGTTTAGGGTTTTTCTCCCTTCAATTTTCTCTCAATCTCTCAGGCAAACGCTTGTAATCTACCAAATTCTGATGGCCCCATGAAGATTGACGAGGAAATCGGCTTCTTGGCCGCCGGTCGAGAAGTCCCGCCGAGTTCCTTCATCATCGACCACAGTGACTCATCTTCCGTCGCCGCCTGGTCAATTTTCGCGGCGACCGTCTTTCCATGGTGATGAAGAATCTCTGCCGGCGACGTACACTCCGGCTTTTCCGGTCTCCGCTCGCGGCCCGATCTCCCTGTGATGACAGCGTGCCTCCGCTGTTGCATCCACCTTTCACAACCGCCGCCTCGTCAAAATTTCGTGGCGTCTGACCCGACGACGTTCTACTATTGCTAACCTCTCGCTAAAAATTCGTTAGCCGTTCACAGAATACCGACTGATAGCGTCCGACGAGCCTGACGGTCCTCCTCTCTATTATAGTGATTAGATGTGTTGCAATAATATTTTGTGAATCAAATTATAATTCATACTTGTTTGTTAATTGTGGAATTTGTCTTGTTTGGATTTTTTGGAATGTTTTTGTGCCTGTGTAGTGATTTGTCAGGGGCATTTTTGTTGGATTTTTGTTGGTACTATTGGCATGATGTTTTGTTGCATTTTTTGTTTTTTTTTCTCCCTTTTTTCTGGTGAACTTCAGTGAAGGAAAATTGGTTCTATTGATTTTGGATATTTGATTTGCACTGAGGTTAACCTATCAAAATACACTTTTCGGACCATTTTTTTCCATCCGGTATTGTAAATTTATCTTTAGTTTTTAAGAGACTTACACACACATACTTTAAGTAATGTGTTTACCTAAAGTATATTATACCGGGTTGTAAATACAAAATAGAGACATACGCACACGTACGTGTTTAACTAATGTATATTACACCATGTAGTAAACATCCGGGTAGATAAGTACACATAATGTGTATTGTACATATATATATATATATACACACACACAAGATAAACAACATATAAACATATTTTTTATTCTGCAACATTATACTAAAAGTAAGCAATAAGTAAACAACCATTAAGGAAAGATTATAAACTTCAACAATATCATTACAACTTAAAAATTAACAGAAAGTTATATATAAACGGTACATAAACAGAATAGCCGAACATCCACAAGTAAATTTGGGCATCACGCTCAGAAGAAGCTAAGTTTATATACATAAACGGTATATAAACGGTACATAAATAGAATAACCGAACATCCACCGGCCCAGGTCGCGCGACCACCGGCCTCCGCCAGCCTCCATTAGCCCAAGCCCAGAGACGCAACCACTCGCCTATGAGTTTCTTGAGTCGTGTCGCCGTAATCAGACATGAATCTGAGACGGTAAATTTGGGCATCACGCTAAGAAGAAGCTAAGTTTATATATATAAACGGTACGTAAACAGAATAGCCGAACATCCACCGGTCCAGGTCGCGCGATCACCGGCCTCCGCCAGCCTCCATTAGCCCAAGCCTAGGGACGCAACCGCTCGCCTATGAGTTTCTTGAGTCGTGTCGCCGTAATCAGCCATGAATCTGAGACACCGTAAGGTTGTAGTCGTGTCGCAAAATCGCCGCCCTCGATTTGGAGCCGTCAATTTATTATCTTCGCTAGTCGACGTTCAGTCGACCTCGCTGCACTTCGCCGTCAACGGACATCGATGCCGAGGGCGGAGAATTCATCTCTCCCCAGAAAGAAAGTATATTCTCGCGTGAGTTTTTTTTTTCTCTCTCAAGCAAACCAAGTTAGAGCTTTTCAATTTAGGGTTTTTCTCTCCTTCAATTTTCTCTCAATCTCTTAAGCAAACGCTCGTAATCTACCAAATTCTGATGGCCCTACGTAGATTGACGAGGAAATCGGCTTCAATTGTTTTGTCTTCACCGGATTCCTCTTGGCCACCGGTCGAGAAGTCCCGCCGAGTTCCTTCATCGTCGACCGCAGCGACTCATCTTCTGCCGCTGCCTGGTCAATTTTCGCGGCTGACCAACTTTCCATGGTGATGAAGAATCTCTGCCAGCGACGTACTCTCCAGCTTTTCGGTCACCGCTCGCGGTTCGATCACCCTGTGATGACAGCGTGCCTCCGCTGTTGCTTGTGTTTACCGTTTTCTCTGCGTGATTTTCTCCTTCTGTAGATAACTTTCATTATATGGAGAGATAGAACCATATATAATGATGATTATCACAATCTAGTATAAATGAAAAAAAGATCAATAATTAATCCTATTTTGATTATGTTTCCTACGAATTGTATTTATGTAAATATATCTACAATAGAGGTTATTTTTAACATTTATTAGCCATATAATAGGCCATATACCAGCCCATATGTATGATGGGCATTTGATTTAATTCTTTAACAATTGGGCCTGAATTTTGGTTGAACTCGATTTGGTACTACGCCGTCAATTAAAATCCTCCAATATCTTAAAAATAAACAATAAATGTATCATAGTACATAAATTCATTTTATAAATAAATAAGTAGAAAAATATATAAGTGCGACAAAATTAAACATATAAAAATACGTTAATAAATATATAAAATACACACTTTTTCCGACCAATCACTTTATTCAATCAAAATTTGGTTGAACTTATAAAAAAAGATTAGATGAGCATAAACAAAGACTGCAATTATAATTGATTATACTGCAAGTACCAGAAAAGCGAATCAATTTTATAAAACCATAAATACATCATAATCATGTTTTGTAAAGAATTATAAAACATTCAAAATCAAATGTATAGTGTTGTACGTAACTTTTATTTTAGATATACATAATCTTATAAATGTGATTAAAATAATAATTATTATATTGACAAATTGCCTATAAAACATATGTCATTCAAAATAATTTTACAAGTTGAATTATTTTGTAATTTGTTGTATATCTATTTTTTATAACATAACTATAATAATATATAATTTTTAATCAATTTCACTTTAGATTATATAATATTTATTGTTTAAGTTTTTGTGCAGTAAACGAGTGTCGTACTAGTCCTCGTTAAACGATAATTAATGAAATAACTAGAATATTTGTTAAATAAATTAATAGTGGGACCAATTATGCAACATTGATCTTGTACCAAAATCGCAAGATTAATTTGTATGGAGTCAAAATCAAAACATTAATTTTTAATGGGATCAAAGTTACAACATTGAAACTACTTTTGTACGAATGTAGGTCTTATAAAATCAATATGACAATATTCTCATAATAAATACACTTAGGATATCTATACTTATATAAAAAGGAATCCTATTTACTACAAATTGTATCTAAAAAAGTCAACTGCAATTAATGTTATTACTATTTACAACATGTATTTTATTTAATTATTTTATATTGAAATTAATGTTATGCGATTCAATTAATGCTATTACTATTTCGTACCATCGATTTTCCTGCGAAAAAATCCCACAAAATCGGTTTTAATTTTTTGTATATTTGTAATCTCCTTCTTATCTTGTATTTGTTTTATCCCATAAAATCTATTTAGTCAACAAAATCCCATAAAATCGTTTTAAACTTTTTGTAGATTGAAATCGAAATTTCCTTCTTATCTTTTTAACAAAAAAATTATTATTTATGTATTGAAATTCTGTAATCTGATTTCATATTGTATCATTTAGAATATATTATAGTTATATTATCAAATCATAAAAAGATACTAAATCCATATTGTAAAAAAATAAGTCATATAATTTTATAACAATTCTACTACACTATTTAACAATATTCCTTTTTATTAAATAATAAAATAATAATTAAATATTATATAGTGAACAACAATAAGTAAAATTGTTACTTTCTCTTATATCAAGGGATAAATTTATATGCTAAATTTAAATTTTTATTAGTATAAATGTTTTAGTGAGATAATATATTAATTATTTTACAAGTTAGCCCTAACATGCTTATATTTAATGTTCTGGCTAAAAAAACACAAGCTGATTAAAATGTGGAAAAAAATTTATAATAATTCTATTGTTTTTTAGACTTAACGTTGATTAAAAGAAGTAAAAAATAGATAATAACCCTATTATATTTTAGACTTAAACGGACAAGAGTGTGAAAATAACTCATTTAATATCTATGTCCCGTGCGGGTACGTAATAGGATCATTTTATGAATGAGCGCATAATGGAGTCATCACTGTTTTTAATTTTGATTGACTTTATGTAAACATGTATATATGATGAGTCGAATGATAAAATTTCATCTTGAAAGAATTTATAAATTATAGTATAATAAATTAATTAAATACTGATATGCCAATAATGTTCATATGATATACAATAATTACAATATTTAAAATAGAGGATAGCCAGATACCATCTCCTCCAATCATTCTCCACAGTGGTTATTTTGGACCCTTTTGCCGAGTGGACCCCACCATTTCTCTCTCCTCAAAGACCACAAAGTATCTCTCTTCTCAACACAGACCAGTGTCCCGCCGGGAGAGAAGGAAGTGTAAGAGTAGAAGAAAACAATTCCTCTGCTTCTACGAAATTGGTAGTCATTTCTTTGTTTTTAATTTTATGTAGACTTGTAAAGTTTAATTTTTTCTTACTCGCCTTAAGAATATTTTGGCTTCCCTTTTTCTGTTTGCTTTCTCTCTCTGTCTCTCTTTGTGACGCCTCCTTTACGGGCAGTTATCAGTTTCTTTCGTCTTGATCGTGAGGTACTCTCTCAATTTGTGTGTCTATTTTATTTCTCCGTCTGTGAGTTCTTCAAATTTAGTTCTTTTTGTTCGTTCAACTGTTCAATTGAGGTGGGTTTTGCTTGTATTGTGCTTGTTCTTTAGGTTCACGGGTTTAGCTTGATGGTTTCTTTTTCTAACATGGGATTCGGAGGATTTATGATGAAATTTCGAACTTTATGTGGTTTACACCGATAAAGTTGTGAT